TAGATTCATAAATTACTTGTAAAACTTATTCTTATAAAATTAATCTTCCTTCTAGTTATCATGAGACGTATAAAATGTAAATTAATCAGCCACATTCATTATTTCGGGGACCACTTGATGTAAATGAACTTTAAATCTTTTTATAGTTCATCAGATCAACATCAGCATTCTAGGGCGTGGATGTGAGTACAATTGTTTATTTAATGTAAATCTGAACGGTTTTACTGACTTTTGTGTAGACTCATTCCATCCAAAATAACCCATAAAGACCCGAAAGATATGAGTATCACGCAGCTGGTGCTTTAATAATGTCTTTACTGGAGGTCATTATGTAATAAAACAACAAAATTGCCTTGGATTACGGAGAAAGTAAGAGGAATTCGCGGCATCAACGCTTAACGAGATAGTTTGCCTCTCCTATTTTTCTCTTGTTTCACACACAACATATTGCTTTACAGCACCCTCTCCACATTTTACATTTTCCTTGCAACATTTCCGATGTCTTTGGTATTTAGTGGGCAAACACAGACAAATGATCTCCCTATACTGAACGAGGGGTGTGATGAACCTCAAACAAACTCCGTTCATCTATTTTGAATACAGTTGCTATTTTACGCCACGTTATTCGACACAAAGGGGAATTCGTGTCTTAAATAAATTGTTTAAGTGTTAATTTTCTTTTTTTTATAATTTATTCTTTGTTTCTTATTATCTCGATCCACTTTTCTAAGATCTAACACAGTTATCTCCTGTAATGTCTTTTTTTAACATTTCTTCTCTGATACACGCACACACACACACACACACACACACACACACACACACACACACACACACACACACACACACACACACACACACACACACACATAAATATATATACATATATATATATATATATATATATATATATATATATATATATAAATATATATATATATATATATATATATATATATATATATATATATATATATATATATTGTTGTTTTTGCACCCATTTATGAAAAAGTGTAGGTTTTATATCTTCATTCACGATGCTTTAAGGGTATATAGATTATGGATTAGGATTCCTCCCGTAAACGACTGAAGTTCGCGGCCATTTCGACTTACTCCGAGTTCTTAATGAAACCACTTCGTAAGCCAATCGTAGGTATCTCTTAGGCCACATGTCTAAATTAACGTTGTTGCGAATCTTGATATGACTTTAAAGGCATTACTCGACACCGATATGTTTGTTACAAAAGCGAGGGAGTAAATGAAAGAAGACGGGCCAATACCGCAGAGTTTTTTCGTTTTAGAATTTACTATATGGTATTAATTTTCAGTGAAGAATACATCTATTATAAATAATCGTTCAGAACTAATAACAACAACTTTTTGTTGCTTCAGATCTTACTAAGACTATACAGCTAGTATTCTAAACTCCGATGCGCCTCTTGCGCATAATTGTGTGCTGTGTGGTACAGAGGTAGCGATCTCGTCTAGCAATTATGCTGACCTGCGTTCAAATCCCTCGTCGCCAGTGGATGGAAACACCGGTCATTCCTTGCACACATGGGATAATTAAAAAACAAAAATTGAACAGACAGTGTGTCACACCAAGAATATCCACTGTAACAAATGGAATTAAACTAAATGATATACAGAAGCGAATGATTAGTTTAGTTTAGTCTAGTCCTTTATTTCCCACCCTAGCTAACTGCGCAGGCGTGGGCAAGCTGTGGTACATTTGATGCATGGTCATAACACAATATAATGGTATTACATTTGAATATTAGGCTATAGTATTATCATGATAAGTACTATATCAGTTAAAGGAAAGGAGCAATTACACAGTCCTTTATCTACTTATCTGCCGCGGCGGTCTACAGCTTGGGCGTGGAATCTATAGCTACATGTGATGTGCTGTTATGTGATACTACATTCCGAATTTAGGATACAAGTATAGCTTCTAAGGCAGATGATATAAAATTGTTACATAGTTCTCCGTACCTCATGCTAGGTGGTCTGAAAGGCTGTAACATATGGCACTCTGAGGTATAATGTACAATTGTTCTCTTACATTCTTCATTGGACAGTCTACACATATTTTCTTCGACATTACAAACTGTACTGACCTGTCAATACAATCAATATCCAAGCCTGATTTTTGCAGTCACAATATCACACTGCCTTGTTCTTGTGTTATATAACCCATAGATGAATGAATCTTGCGTAAACCGGTCATAGTGCTTTATGCTACAGCTTTCAGAGCATTGATTATTAAGCAGCTCAGTCAAGTCCTTTTTGAAGGAAGTTTTAATGTTGTATAAATTCCTGGAAAGAGGTACCCCAACATCTATATCCACACTTCGTTTGCCACATGCTGACTTTGCTAGGCGATCAGCATGACCATGCCTAGGGATTCCAACATGCGACAGAATCCACACAAAACGTATATCATGGCATCTTTCTTTTACACGATACACGTTTATCCTGATGTTATTCGCAATATTCC